GTAGTCAGGTAGGTACAGTTAAATGCAATCTCTGTTTCAAGTTTCATTTTGGGATGGCTTTGGGAACAGGAGTAAAAAATACAATTATAAAGTACAGGTGTGTAATAGTTAAAACACTTCTTGAACCAAACATGCATCAGGCAAGTTCAGATTCCCTTCATAGTGTGTCTGTGTGTACTTCTCAACAGGATTGCCAATTTAGCTATTTTTTGTTACATTTAGCTCCAATTGTTTCACATCTAGCTCCTAATTTACAATTCAATTCTCTGTGCAGTTACCAAAACTGCCAAGATTGACATGTGGATGATGGTTGTGTGTATTCAGAATTGTACTAAGCTTGGACTCCAAATTTTTAGCTATTTTCTTTAAATCTTATTGATAACAAATTTCTTGTTTCAAGTATTTTCAGTTGGCATCACTGTTTCTCAGTCTTGCTGAGAAACCTATTTCTCAGTCTGTGGTGTGGGCAGGTGGTGCAAGACACTAGTACAATATACTGTACATGGACAGATGCACTTGATGAAGTGTGTGGCAATAGATAAGAAGTACAGACACTGTACTGCAACCAATTTGAAATTAAAAGGCACAGCAGCAGTTGGAAGCCATTAAGGAAGGTGCCACCATGAATGTTAACACAAAGTGCCACATGTGAATAGTGAACAAATGATATGTGACAACAGTAGGCAAACAACTAAATGGGATTCTGTTAGTGAGGAAGGGCCAAGCACATTAACTGACGCAGAAAGAACATTAATTTTGCATGCATGTTTCAACAAGCAAAACAGTAATGAAGAATGAGCTGCTGCTACACAGATGATATGAAGCGGGCCAGTACTTTAACCTCGAATATTTCATGCTTTCATACCAGGAAGGAGGAATGAATTAATAACAAAGGTTTTCTACAGAAATAACTAGAGAAGTGCACCAAACAAACATCCCGCATGAAATATTGTCTTGGAAGAAAAAGTTTTGTGACTTGCATTTATAATGATGCCTGGTGGTTAGGTTAGGCCATGAATAAGAATGCTGCAACGTCACAGGAGAGTCTGATCAGTTCCCTACATCCCAATGCCCGATCACGCCAGATGAACTGAACATTCTGACTGAACAAGTTTTCACTAAGGTTGATCCATCTAAGATGGTCGGGTTGAAGGTCTACTTTTAAATTTTTTACAATTTATAATGGAATGATCCCATACTACAGTATAGACAGAACAGAGCTGGTCATCATGGAGTTCAATGACAAAATTACACACCAAAATGTGTGTATATACTGTACTGTATCTGTTAAGATCTGATTGTCAAAGTCTAAACAGCAAAGCCTCAGCATCGGGAAATCAAAATTGAGTTTGCCAAGAATTTGTAATAATTTTAGGGTTAGGTTAAATTAGGTTCATTAATAATAAGTATATTTCACATCTTTTTTCAATATAAAATATACACAGTATTAAGTTGTACACTCTTCTAATCCCCCATTTGGCTACTGGATGTAAAGCTCCAACTGCCTCAAGGCAATTCTGATCACCCCACAATAGTTGAATGTCCTGCTGGTTCAATGGGAACGTCATTCCCCACTTAGAGAACCTCAGTAATTGTTTGCCATATTGGAGAAAAATCATGAACACCTTAGTTTTCTTCAAGAGCCTTAGCAAACAAATGTGCATCTTGTCTGGCACATCACCTTCAGGCTAGTAAATTCAATAAATGGAAGTGAAGTGAGACTGAGACTACACCACGGAGACTGATCAGTCTCCGTGGTGTAGTGGTAAGACACTCGCCTGGCGTTCCGCGAGCGCTATGTCATGGGTTCGTATCCTGGCCGGGGAGGATTCACTGGGCGCAATTCCTTAACTGTAGCCTCTGTTTAACGCAACAGTAAAATGTGTACTTGGATGAAAAAACGATTCTTCACGGCAGGGGATCGTATTCCAGGGACCTGCCCGAAACGCTACGCGTACTAGTGGCTGTACAAGAATGTAACAACTCTTGTATATATCTCAAAAAAAAAAAAAAAAAAAAAAAAAAAAGTAAATGGTTTCAAGTGTAGCTATGCTACACTTGAAACCATTGACACCATGCAAAATAGTAAAGACTGAAAGACCTGGATGATCTTAGTGATGAATAGTAATATACTGCAAGTAACTTCAAGTTTTCTTATAAATCTCATTAAATATAAAAGCTTCAACATTTCTCTCTCTCTCTCTCTCTCTCTCTGGCTATTGAAAGCTAATAAAATTATAACTCCCTGTGGTGCAGTGGTAGCACACTCGCCCTTCGCTTTTGAGCTATTTGGCCTGGATTCATATCCTGGCCGGGGAGGATTGACTAGTCGCCAATCCTTAACTGTATGCCTCTGTTCACCCAGCAGTGATTTGGTTACGTGCTTGAGAGCACAGGTGGGTCATATTCCAAGGAAAAGTAGTGGATAAGGGTTACTATGAGCTGTGGAAAGGGAAAGCTCTCAGCTTGCTTACAGGAGTCAGCAGGTGTCTGTTCCTGTACCCACCTGTGTTGACAAAAAAAAAAAAAAAAAAGTACACATAAAATTCGTTAAATAGTGAATTTTTAAGCACGTGGCATCATCACCCCCCAAAATATTTATGAAATATTAAGTTTGCCTATACCGTACACACAAGCAGCATTCACTAACATAGTATAAACCAAATGCACAACTGCAACAAAGTTCTTAAAGAAAACACAAGCCACTTAACTAAAAACACTTGGCTCCCCCTGCCCCACACACCCAGTTGCTGAAGCCAATTAGGATAGACTGAGTTCTGGCTGGAGTATACCAGAAGTAGGCTCTCAGTGTTCTTCTACTCTGTCTTTTTCCTGGCTAATATTGTACCACCTAGTTGTGATTGCAGGGGATGAACTCTGTGAACTCTGGCTCTTTGGGCCTGCCTCTCAACTATCAATCAATCAACTGTTTTTCTTCTTCCCCCCCCCCCCACCCCCACCTACCTTGAGGTTACCTTGAGGTGCTTCCGGGGCTCAGCGTCCCCGCGGCCCGGTCGTCGACCAGGCCTCCTCACTTCCCACACACACACACACACACACACAGGGAGCAGCCCGTAGCAGTTGTCTAACTCCCAAGTACCTATTTACTGCGAACCAGGGCATCAGGGTGAAAGGAACTCTGCCCATTTGTTTCTGCCATCGCTGGTGATCGATCCCCGGTCCCTAGGACTACGAATCCCGAGCGCTATCCACTCAGCCACCAGGCCCCCCCCTGTGGCTGTGTTTGCTTTCATATGCTCACTAAACATTTAGTTATCTGACATCATTATTCCCAGATCCTTTACATGTCGCTTTCTTTCTATGAGATCTGATTGTGTCTTGGTCCCTGTATTTCACTTAATTTATTCATTTTTACCATACCTAAATATCTAGATTTTATCACTGTTAAAGATCATGATATTTTCTGTTGCCCAAGCAGACTTTATTGATATTTGTATCAAATGCAAAAGATGACTAGAAGTTGTGACTTTTATTTTTGTCTATACCTGAAATGAGAATGAGAAAGCACTTTTGTCATAGTGGTTCAATAATTGTGAAATGCTGGATCTTCCTGCTCTAAATCCATGTTGACCTGTATTGTGAATTTCATGGTTAAACCATAGAACTAGAGATTTGACTAATAATCCCTATAAAAAAACTGTAGTTATGTGTGATGTAATGATAGCAATGTGTGATAATACCTGATCAACCAGGTTGTGATTCTTACATCAGGCTGTGAGCAGCCACGTCCAACAGCCTGGCTGACCAGACAACCAACTACGAGGCCTGGTTGGAGACCAGTTCGTGGGGCTGTTGATTCCCAGAAGCTACACAAGGTAGGTAGGTAGGAAGTTAGTACGAATGACCAATCCCATAACTTTAAGCAAATGCTTTGCTACCTCCCGTTACGACTGGAGCTTTATCTCACAATGTAATTGCTTCACATATTTAACTAGTATCCAAGCTTCTTTTCTATACTATATTGAGTGCTCATGATACTGATATAGTATTTTGCATTTCTTCGTAAATATGGAGGAGTCAAGATAGAAGGCTGAGTGCATGACCATGTTATCATGTTGTTTATTGGGGGGGGGACTAAACATAACCAACCTGATTTTTTTTGTCATTCTCTGTGTATGTACCTTCTCTGGTATAGTGTTTAAGGGTTACGGGTCGTCTCTGGGAACGGATTAAATTCGTAAGCGAAGGTACCACTGTTCATGATAATCTGTTCAATATATATATACAGTACAACCTTATTTCCAAACTAGTACTGTACTTGCATTGGCCCAATGCTTTTTTTAATCTAAAGTACAGTAATCCAATTGGTTTGCATTGTTGAGTACTGTATTTTATTTATGCAAATATTTTAGCACACTGCAAATACTGTACCCTCTTATTATTCATTTTTACCTATGTATATACTGCAATTATGACCCCCCCTTCCCCTAGTCTTTGCTTTTTAAAATAATGTAAATCAAGTTCTTAATTTATTTTCATAATCGAGGTCACTAATGTCTGGAAATACTGTACGCTTTGGTACCTTTATTCTTACCAATAAATAAAGCTAAAATGAGTTCATCTTTTGCTAGGGCCCGTCTTCTTTCTTACCTAAAATAAAATTCTCTGTATCACTCCTGTTCAAATACACAGCAAATGTTATAAATCTGAAATGACACCCAGTGATTGGACAATGATGAAGAAATTGTTAAAACTTTGCAGAAACAAACCAAGCACCAGCACTAAATGTCCTCACGTGTAATTTTATACTTATGGCTATGCAAAAACTAGCTTACCTTAGCCACAGGCTGTTCTTGCTAATATATTCCCACATTAATTAGCAAGAACATTAAATTGAGTAGCAAGAACCCTTCAGTTTAGGTTATCCATTCCTTATACAGCACTGAGCTACCATTCCTCTATTAGCTACTTCCTTTCTTACTTTTAACTATGTTGGTTGTGAAGCCACATGGGGAAAAAAAGCTACATGTAAACCTCACCTGATGAGAAAGGTGTTTAGCAGCAAGAGTTTGGGAAGGCACTGCCGTAGCAGTCACTGTGTAACCGGTCGCAGTGCCGGTATAACTAGTGCCAATCTGGTCCAACTTTCGCTTCCTCTGCAGGCACTGTCCAGAAGTGGCAGGGGCATGCAAGACTGCACTGGGCTCACCTCCCGCCGGAGAGATGAACATGTCATGCATTCCCTGCAACACACCAACAAACACACACATGTTACTGGTTAGGCCACAACACACACAAGGCAGGGAGAGTGTAATGTATCCCTGGACCTTCTACAGAGGAAAGACCTGGGTACACTAAGAAGTGAAAAAAAGATGTAAGCCAGTATTATTAGAATAAGAGAAATCAAGCAGCACTTGCTGCACAGCATTCTTTACAAGACAGACATATATAGGCAAAAGATCACACAACACTGAAGTATAATTATTAAGTGAGAACATTAACATGTTAAGTGTACTAAAGTAGGTAAGGATTACATTGCCCTGAAAACAAAATCCACACCTAAAATACATCAATATATGTGAGAGACACGAGTGAACACTACCTGGAGTTGTTCTGTTTACCTCGTGTTGACTTTCTGCTAGTTGCAGGGATCAATTTTCCTGTGGTCCAGTTTCTAACCAAGTATCCTTGTTAGTGATCTGGTAAACAAGGCTGTTAAGCAGCAGCTGCTCGCATTCTGACGAATGAGTCAAAGCCTGGTTGATCAGGTATCCATTGGAGGCGTATATCAAGTTCTTTTGAACACCACGAGAGGTCAGCTAGTCATGCCCCTTATATTTTAGAAGGAGTGTTGAGAAGTCTTGGACCCTTAACCACTATACTGCACCACCCAACATAACATGGGGCATGGCGGTGCGCCACCCAACATGTGAGCGATAATAGGATATCTTAAGATTGAAAATGCATATGCGGTGGGTTGGTTACGAGATGAAGGCCTAAGATCTCCAGCGAGCGGCAGCCATCTTAAAAAAATGCCAGTTTTTGATACTACAGTAGTATTGGTGTGGGTGATTGTCAACTAAGAAAATGTGACAAGATTTTATCAGTGCATTGAAAAGACAGATGTGAACTGAATATGTTGACAACTATTTACACTGGTGAAATGCTTGACAGTGGTAAAATGAGGTTTGGAAGAAACGAAAATTGTATAAGCCAGAGTGTGTCATTGACTACAATATAAATATGAGATTGGTAGATAAATGTGACATGATGGTTGATGCCATCGAGTGTGCTTGCAAAAGTGTAAAGTGGACAAAGAAATTGTTCTTTCACCTTGTGGACGTAACAGTGCTGAACTGTTTCAACTTGTATTTGGTGAAATCAGGCAAGAAACCATCAATTCGTGTTGTTAGTCGTGCTCTCTTGACGCAATTATTCGTCAAGTATGGCCAGGAAGGCAGTGTAAGGACAGTTGTTCATGCGTCAACAAGAGCACATGTAGCTCCCAACAGCCTGGCTGCTAAAGACTACCTTACAATTCACAAGCCTGGCTACATACCACCTACAGGAACTAAAGCCAAAGGTGTACATGAGTGCATTGTTTGCAAGCACACAGAACGAAGAAACTGGAAGCAAAAATCTGTGTGTACCTGGTGCATCGAGTGCAAAGTTGCACTGTGTACCATGGACTGCTTCTTTGATTATCATTCACTTCCAAAGTACTGAGTGTGTAATACAGTGTGTAACTGTAAATAGTGTATGTGAGTGTATATATTGTAAATAAATTGAATACAGTATTGAACAAGTAATATTGCGACAATAAACGTATTTTGTGAACACATTAATGACATTTATAAGTTCTTTGAAACATTATGTATATTCTACTGTGTATATATCGTAAAGGACACAAATGTGCATCAGATACAATAAAACAGTAATTAGAAAGCATTGAAAGTGCATTGAAAAATAAATTAAAATATATTTGTGGCAATTCGCAAGGCTTGAATTGCCTGCCAACTGCATCTGGCAGATTCTTGCACAGGTGAACACGTCTCGATGACGTCACATCACATCTTCTCCACGTCGCCACAGCCAAAGTAGTTTTGTATATACTGTACTGTATATACAGTAGATTTTTTTTATTTACATGTACATGTTCAGGAAAGGCATTTTAACAATTCATTTCAATCATTTCTTAAACCTTACTTTCCAGTAATTATTTCTTAAACCTTACTTTATTTAAAGATACAATAAAGTAGCAGTCACAACTGTAAGAAAAATGAGAGGTTAGATAACAAGATCCTTTGTAAAACAAAAAAAGATGCCATAACAGCAATACTTTTTAAGACACTGGTGCTCTCTGGGGTGGAATATTGTTGCGCACTAAAGGAGCCATTCAAAGGTGGAGAAATTGCTGACCTGGATAAAGTGGAACGGTCTTTTACTGCCCGAATCTAATCAATAAAACATTAAATTATTATAACAGTTTAAAAAAATTAAACCTGTATTCTCTAAAGCACAGGCAAGAGGGATACACTGTACATAATAATTAATACTTGAAATATATTAAAAAGACTGATTCCAAATCTTCACATGGAAATATCTCCACATGAAACCAGAGGGTTTCATGTGTCAGCTTCACTAATGATTTAAGCAACCACGTAGCAACAGACATCAGATTTCCCACGAGAATTGCTACCTGGAGAGGGTTTCGCAAGTTCTTCTACTCCCCGAAGCCCGGCCTGAGGCCAGGCTCAACTTGTGATAACTTGATCCAACAGGCCACAGGCCCACATATCCACTACAGCCTGGCTGATCCGGCACTTCTTGCAAGAACCTGCCAAGTGCCTCTTGAATACATCCACCGTCGTTCCGGCAATATTTCTAATGCTTGCTGGGAGGGGTGTTGAACAGCTGTGGACCTCTAATGTTCGGACATTGCCCTCTGATTGTGCCTATGGCACCTCTACTCCTCACTGGTTCTATTCTGCATTTCCTTCCATACCTTTAGCTCCAGTATGTTGTTATTCTACTGGGCAAATTTGGGACCAGACCTTCAAGTATCTTCCAAGGGCCTCTTTCCTAGCCATGTCCAGCTGTAGGCCTAATAGCCCTGGCCTTTATGACTGGTCCCTAGCGGTGCCAAAGGCAGTGCTTCCTATTATGTCCTAAGGTGAGAACAATGTAGATTGGGGTACTGGTCTGGGACAATTGTGTCATTGTAGTTATGTGGGCCTGCAGTCCACGTAACCACAATTTGTGGATGTTCTTTTTCTTCCCTCAGAGGGAAGGGTTGGGTTTGGTTAGGACCCAGCTATACGATCTGCTAGAGGTAGTTGAAGTGTAAGGTAAATGCTCTATGATTTATACACTGCATATAAACTCCATTTTGTTTTATTTTAGGGATATTTAAAATTGGACATAATTGATTTTATTAAAAAATTATGTTAATATATTCTTGCAATTTCAGTTCATTCCTCTTGTCATTCCAGTGGACAAATCTCACCCAAAGGCTGTTTGACCTTTGGCTTATTACCAGTGTTTCTCCACTCTATAAACTATCTAAAGAAACAATCAACCCATACAGAGAAATCACATTATCCTAATACAGTATATCAATGAGAAAATTCACAGGAGCCGTGATGAGGATTCGACCCGGGTGCATCTGGGAACACCCAGAGCATAGGTTCAAATCCCCATCTTGGTTCCTGTGGATTTTCTTAACTATCAACCTAATTGCAGTAACTAATAATCATCTGTTCCCTAGTAATTATCAAGAGAGTAAAGATTAAGTCTATTTTGCTGATGTCTTTGACCTCCTCTCATGGATTATGGGCAATGATTACCAGTGATTATAAAAAAACTTTCAAGCCTATACAGGTATATATCTCAGGGTGGTAGCAGCTGAAGACTTGACAGATTTTTGCATATACAGTGGTACCTCGGAATGCGAGTGTCCCTGTATGCGAGTTTTTCGGAAGACGAGCAGGATTTACTCCAAAAATATGTCTCGGAAGGCGAGGGTTACCTCGGGACACGAGTTTGTTGATACGTGTACAGGCCGACTGGCGCGTGGTGGCATGGCGATCGCGCCTCAGTTTACCAGTGTCTCGTGTCCAGTGACTATCCCACCTGAATTCTTCACAAGGATTTACAGTTTTTTATCGGTTTTTTGGCCATTTGAGCATAAAAGTTGTCATTATATATCTTGCCATGGGTCTCAAGAAAGCCATTGGTAAGGTTCAACCTAAGAAAATAGCTGTGAGTAGAGGCAGTAGAGGATGTCCCTTCTTGATTAAGAAAATGTGTGAAGTATGGGAAGAACTGCAAAGTTTTGTTGAAAAAACTCACCCAGATAAAGCTGTAGCAGGCCGTTGCATTGACCTTTTAAATGATAATGTGATGTCTTACTACAGACAAGTGTTAAAATGTAGGGAAAAACAAGTGTCATTAGACAAATTCTTAGTAAAACAAGCAAGTCCTAGTGGTATGCAGGCAAAATGTGCCAGAGTGTGCATACCAGTGAAGTCCTCACTGCCTGATGTGATAATGGAAGGGGACTCCCCTTCCAAACAGTAACTCCTCTCTTCCTCCCACCTCCTCACCATCTTCCATACGCCTACAGCATTCAACAACAAGGTAAGTAATAACTTGAACATAGTTTTGTAGGTTTATTTAGATGAATTAGGTATAAAAATTTAGTTTGATGTGGGGTTTTTGGGGTAGTCAGGAACGGATTAATTCATTTCCCTTTATTTCTTATGGGGAAATTAGCTTCGGAATGCGAGTTTTCGGAATACGAGGCATCTCCAGGAACCAATTAAACTCTTAAACTCAGGTATGCCTGTAGTTAACGCTGATATACTATCCCTCCAGTTTTCCAGTACAGTACCTGGATCTTACCTGGAGAGGGTCTCGGGAGTTCTTCTACTCCCCGAGCCCAGCCTGAGGCCAGGGTCGACTTGCGATAACTTAGTCCTACAGGCTGTTGCTTGCAGCTGCTCGTAGGCCTATTTATCTACTACAGCCCAGTTGGTCTCGTACTTCTAACAAGAATTCATCTAACTGGTTCTTGAAGAAGCCCACCTTTGTTCCAGCAATATTTCTAATGCTTGCTAGGAGAGTACTGAACAGATGTGAACCTCTGATGTTCAGATAGTACTCTCTGATTGTGCCTATGGCACCTCTAGATGTCTCACTCTTATCACTTCTGTGGCCTTGTAAGCTGTGACTGGCACCTACACAGGTAGCAAACATTAAAGGTCACAAGGGTCAAATGTTTCAATAAACCAAATTTTATAATTCTAGCAATTAGAAATTTCTTAATGAAGAAATTCTAGGAATTAGAGTTAAGGGTGACATGATTGAAGTATACATGTGGATGAATGGGCATAACAAGGAAGACTTTAATAAGTTATTAAATATATCAACACATAATTGAATGCAAAACATTGGATATAATTTGGAAAAGTTTAAATTTAGGAATGCCCTGGGTAAATACTGGTCTGGTAACGTGATTGTGGATATGTGGAACAAATTACTGGGTAAAATAGTACATGTAGGATCCCTCAATCCTACAGTGCCTATTAGTGAGTTTAAGTGGATATAAATTGGAGCTCCCATATATGGGCCAATAGGTCTTTAAGAAGTTTCCTTGACTCTAATGGTCTAATAAAATATTTTAGGAAATACAAACTTCCCAAATAAAAAGATTCTAGGAATTAGAAAATTCCCAATGAAGATATTCAAGGAATTAGAAAATTCCCAATGCAGAGAATTTTGGAATTCAAAAATTCCCAATGAAGAGTTTTTAGGAATTAGAAAATTCCCAATGAAGAGATTCTATGAATTAGAAAATTCCCAATAAAGAGATTCCAGAAATTAGAAAATTACCAATAAAGATATTCCAGGAATTAGAAAATTCCCAATAAAGATATTCCAGGAATTGGAAAATTCCCAATAAAGAGACTCCAGGAATTAGAAAATTCCCAATAAAGATACTCCAGGAATTAGAAAATTCCCAATAAAGATATTCCAGGAATTAGAAAATTCCCAATAAAGAGATTCCAGGAATTAGAAAATTTCCAATAAAGAGATTCCAGGAATTAGAAAATTTCCAATAAAGAGATTCCAGGAATTAGAAAATTTCCAATAAAGAGATTCCAGGAATTAAAAAATTTCCAATAAAGAGATTCCAGGAATTAGAAAAATCCCAATAAAGAGATTCTAAGAATTAGAAACCTTCTTAATGAAGATATTCCAAGAATTATAATCCTTCCTTATGAGGATATTCTAGGAATTACAAACCTCTATTGTGAACAGAAATTCCAGGAATCAGAAACCATTTTACGAAGAGATACTGACAAATAGAAACCTCATTTGAAGAGGGACTTTAGGGATCAGAAACCATCCTCTTGAAGAGATCCATTGAATTAGAAACCTTTCTTATGAATAAAGATTCCATTAATTAAAAACTTTCCTTATGACAAGTGATTCCATGAAATAGAAACCTTCCTTAATAAATTATTAAATAGGAATTAGAAACCTTAACATGAAAGAATGAGTATAACTTGGATTAGTTTAGATTTAGGAAAGACCTGGTTAAATACTGGTTCGGTAACAGGGTTGTTGATTGGTGGAACCAATTACTGCGTAACATAAAATAATACCTTCATTCTCATGTTCTTATGAATAGATTTTATGAATTAGAAACTTTCCTTATGAAAGAGAGATTCCATGAATTAGAAACCATTTTTTTGTATTGATTCCTTAGATTCCAAGAATCCTTATAAAAAAAAATTACATTCCCCAGAATGATGAAGAGTAAGAGTACTAAGAGGTGACATGATTGTAGTACTGTATACAAATGGATGAAAGGATAGAACAAAGAGGATAAGGTTGTTGACCAAACCACACACTAGAAAGTGAAGAGATGACGATGTTTCGGTCCGTCCTGGACCATTATCAAGTCAGTTGTGATGAAACAAGTTGTTTCAGATTTAGCTACTCACAACGAAGTGTCCATGTAGCACAGGTTATGGTGAGCCCGTAATAAAACAAGGGAGGCAAGGGCATTAAGTAGGCAAGGGCATTAAGTAGGCAAGGGCATTAAGTAGGCAAGGGCATTAAGTAGGCAAGGGAGAGGTGAGGAGATGGAAATCTTAGAGGAAGATAAGAGCAAGGTGAAAGGTACATAAGGTAAGGTGTAATAATAGGAATAAAAAGGGGATTGTATGAGAAAACAAAAGAAAGGAAAAAGAAAGATAAAAGGGCAGGTTTATTAGAAAGTTTAGAGCATTTGAGTATGTACTGTGAAAGGGAAGAGTCAACAACAACAAAGCCAGGACTCGGGTTCATGTTAGGTATGTTGTTTATCACAGCCGATTTCAACTTTTTCAGCCACGTTACTGTGACTCATTATCTGCACAGGATAAGATTTTAAACCTTATCCTAAAAAACAAACCAAACTAACACAAGACAAGCAACTTCTCCTTACTGCTGGTCTTCTTACGAGACCAGCAACTTTACCCTAGAAATCTTTTTACGGAGAGATTAGAAAAACTTATCTCCCCCTTGAGAGAGTCTACCAATGTCTACCAACCTATCTACCAAGTCTACCAATGAAGGGCATTTATATGGGGACATAAACAAGGATGTCAGATTGTTAAAAACTGGCGAGAATTTGTAATAATTAGTATAAACTAATGGAGTTCAAATACAAGATAGATATCGGTCTGCATAGGTTTTGTAGACAAGTAATAAACTACCAGATTGCATCGTTGCCACTAACAATTAACAGGTGTAGAGAAATCTATCGGTGGGAGACAAACCCGAGACCTTGTGAACCGACTCCACTGACAATCTGATTCAAACAAGTTGACAGAAACACATACACTTGGTTAATTATGTTGGGAAAACCATTTTTAACAGCAGAGCCCTTTCATTATAAGGTGTACCCAGTATAAGGTGTCAACACACACATTGGAGCACACAAACAATGTACTAAAGTACATGTGACTGTACACCCAAGAATATGAGCTGACATAAGCCAAACAGTATTAAGAGTCGAGTGACAACTACACCCCCTCCAGTCACCAGCTTTATGGGGCTTCCTCACTGTGTTGGCCACACACACACACACACACACACACACACACACACACACACACACACACACACACACACACACACACACACACACACACACACACACACACACACACACACACACTATGCTTGATACACACCACACACACACGCAAACACTTAGCTAACAACATAAACAAACCAAGTAGAGGCAGCTGGTGACTGCCCCACGCCCACAGACACCAGCCTCGACCCCTGGGCGTAGCCAGGCCCCAGGGAGGGAGAGGGAGCCTGGAGATAAGCCAGTATAGGGAGGCGAGGCGGCGGCCACAGCTGCCTCCACACACACACGTACACTCCACCTCAAGAACCTCCTGTCACTCCTCTCCACACTAACCTCCATGCCCCAAAACACTACCAGGTGGCCTGTGGCACTCACCTGCTATTCTCACTCCACCTCCTGGCTGCGTCTTGGAGCATTCCGCAGCGCAACGTCTAGTAAAGCTCTCAGCAACTGGCGTCAGCCATTTTCGTTTAGCCTTCGTCAGTTCACCTTCCCCATTTCCAAGCCTTCAACTAGTTTTCATGTTACGGCCTTTAGAACGACACTCACACATTCCTTGCACAACACTCGAGGGGGTTTTGGTCCCAACACTGACCCCTATTCATGGCAAAAGCCAGGGGATGAACGGGATAATGTATAATTCTTCCCCCTACACAACCCACTCAGACAGATTTCACCTTACACATCAGACTGGTTCCCCAGGTTCCAACAATGCATTATCCTCGCCCACCTAATCTCACTATTCCCTTCTCCTATTCACAACTTGGAAATAAAATTGCATTTATTTGGCTTTCTTGTATTAAACAAATTTTAAAATGTTATATTTTACATTTTGTTTAGTAGATGAGCGGCATGCAGAAATAGAGCAGAAGGATTGATGTGTTTGCGCTACAGAGGAGAGTTCGCCATCAATGGCGGCGGAATTAGCCAATCAGCGACGGAGTTTACGTGAGATACCAAAATTACTCACTTTTACCTGAAGGTCAATATGACAACACCTTTACACCATTGACTTACTCAATGTGGCCTTATATTTCCCATCCAGCTACAGAACACACAAGTCTATACCGAATCAACAACTAAAGTCATACAAGGCAACCCCGGAAATACAGTGAAAGACGACCTAAAAAACGTAGCGTATTTCTTGGGTGCGTCCATTGCCAGCTGTGAAAGAAACCATATATATTATATAAACTAAAATCCATATTTAATCACGTCACCAAAATCTTTCCCGCTTAAAATATATTCAATAATTCCACAGAAGCAGGTTGGTGGAGGGAAAATGAACTATTAAGACGAGTTTTAAGGTAAATGAAGAAACAAGTGGCGTCTTGGCAACACCGGGAAGTGCACGTGCATCATCTACGTTTGTGACGTCACAAGTGTGTCGTCACGGGCCCACCCCGCGGCCTGACCACACGTCTCACCCCCAACACTCTCACCCTAAATTATCACCCCTACCACCACCCCCCCGCCACACACCCACCCTACTCCCCTAATTCTCTGAATGAATCATGTTAAAGCCTTGCCTGATTCATGACAATATGCACCCAAAACATAATACACATATACATATTATATACATATATACATATTATATACATATTATATATATATAACACTTAGTTAACAACATAAACAAACCAAGTGCAGGCAGCTGCCATTTAATATGGGGGAATTCCCTAATCACAGGTAACATTCTTTCCATCCTGTTGGAGGAAGCTGAGGCGTAGTCCAATATTATAAGAAATCGAGAAACGATTAATCTTACGGGCTATTCATGCCCATGCCGCCACCTCTTGGGTGGCTTAATATTCATCATATGCGGGGGGGGGGGGTAGGGAATTAGCCTCGGATACCATCCTCTTTTGTCCGGTCGTGTTGGTCGAGTGGTTAAGGTGTCCACCTTAACCTGGTCGTCGACTAGGAGGCCTGGTCGACGACCGGGCCGCGGGGACGCTAAGCCCCGGAAGCACCTCAAGGTAACCTCAAGGTAGATGATTAATCGATTGATAATTGATGAATATTAAGCCACCCAGGAGGTGGCAAGGGCATGAATAACCCGTAAGATTTATCGCTTCTCGATTTCTTATAACATTGGACTACGCCTCAGCTTCCTCCAATAGCATGGAAAGAATGTTACCTGTAATTAGGGAAAAGATTTAATGAATTAAGTAGACTTATTTCCTTAAGCTAATGAGAGCTTGGACTGAGTATATTCTTGACATGAAATACTCGTTACAAGTTATTAAGTTTTAGTGTAAGTGTTTTTCCCTACACATTGCCCGAAACGCTACGCGTATTAGTAGCTTTAGACATTGTAAATACTGGCTCTATCTATTAATCCAACACTATGTAACTCATCAATATCAATCAATAATATACAGAATGAGATACCCATTAGGAGGAGCCTTGAAGTGGAGACAGCTGAAGAGAAGTTGGTGAGAGGAAACGCTGAACTTGTAGATGTTGTTTAAGATTCAGCTGCTGGGAACAAAAAGTTCCAAGTAGCGCGGGCTATGGTGAGCCCGTAGTGGACTTATCTGGCACAGGAGCGGGGCAAGTAGCACGGGCTATGGTGAGCCCGTAGTGGACTTATCTGGCACAGGAGCGGGGCAAGTAGCACGGGCTATGGTGAGCCCGTAGTGGACTTATCTGGCACAGGAGCGGTAACTGAAGTAATAGAGAAGAAGTCAGGGCTTAATTAACCCATCTGCGTGTCTTGAGTTCATGCTGTAATAACCCAACTACTGGCTAGGCTCTGAGTTCAGCTTACATGTATGTACTTTTATGTGAATAAACATTTTATTTTATTTTGTTTTATTTTATGTTATGTTATTTTATTTTATTTGAATGCAAATTTTACTACAATGTACCTAGAAATAATCCTCAAATTATGCAACAATGTAACTGTTGATAATTCTCAAATTATACTACAATGTATCTGCTGATAATCTTCAAATTTCACTATAATGTACCTACTAATTTTCTTCAATTTTTCTTACAAAGTATCTGTTTACATTTTTCAAATTTGCTTCAAATTACCTACTTAAATTTATCTGTTAGATTAAGAACCTGCATGATTAAGAACCTATGCGTGCTACAAGAATGTAAAATCATCAATGCTTTGTACTCTCATAAACCCAATGTACCTTCTTGTATAAATAAATAAATAAGTTGACATCAAAATTAAAAAAAAATAAGTCTACCATTGTATTAGTAGTTTTCTATGACATGGCTTTGTATTAAATACTGATTACAGGCCAGACTGATGTAGTTGGTTAGCTTATGGGAGGGAGTATTTATTTATTTATTTATTTATTTATTTATTTATTTATTTATTTATTTATTTATTTATTTATTTATTTATTTATTTATTTATTTATTTATTTATTTATTTATTTATATTCAAGAAGATACATTGGGTTTATGAAAGTACATAGCATTGATGTTTTTACGTTCTTGTATAGCCACTAATACGCATTAGCGTTTCAGGCAGGTCCTTAATCTAACATAATTTTAAGCAGGTAATGTCGGAAAATCCGACACCATTTAATAATCATACAGATAATAGCTGTATTGTATAAACAAGTTACCCATAGAAAACGTAACTTGTAGTGGAATTACCATCTAAAGAAAACGGGATATCATCACCACATACCATTATAATTCACCAGCTATTCTGCTGGGAATTATTCTTAAATACATTAGTCTTTGGACTTTACCATCATAAAAACATCTTATATAAATTAACTTAATTATCAATGTTAAAGTAGAGTAAATGTGACCCTTCTATCACTTTCTGAAATCTGGACAAAGTAGGCCAGGCGTCAGGGAGGAAGGGGGGAGCCATTGTTGTGTCACCTCCGAGACGTGTGGAGCAAATTTAGCTCCTATCATATCTGGACAATGTCGGCCAGTAACGTCAATAGTATGGAGTGTTAAACAGCCATTGTTTATATTGAGACCAGAGGCTCACACGGGAGCAAATTCGGCTCCTGTTAATTTTACTTGGACGTAGTGTTACGGAAACCAAAGGTACCATCTCCAACACGATGTCTACAATTCAAGTTAAGTGTTCTTTCCGAAACCCATGTATCTTTCATTTATGGCCATTAATGTCATTATATAGGGTGACTCGGTTAGAGCACGTGGAAGCCTCAAACTAAAGGTAATTAAGCCAGGTCTTCAATGTTCCATGTACAGTTTCTCTGATATAGCTTGTCATATATAGGTTTCTGGCTTCACAGCTAGCGCACTTTTGACAGGTGAAGACGAGGAAGCAAGATTTGTGCACCAGTTACTGGGTGATATGGAAGCTACCTCAAAGAGGATAATTTGGTGTCTACACCCTAGTTATACCTGGTGGACTAACCTGCTGTACTATAAGATAAGGAACCTCATCAATGTATGTAGCTATTACTGTAGTTTGATTGGCTGCATATATATTAATTTAATAACCCCCCCTAATGTGTAGAGGATCGATTTGTGAGATTGAGATTATTGCAGAAATACAGTCCACTTATCATTATACAAATTGCTATCGAAGTATATAAATTAACGTAAATATAAATTCATATAAATTAAATAAATATAAATCTCACAGGTCGGTTCCCACAGGTAATTTGTAGAAAAAATGAAGAACGTTAACATGTTCATTGTATGAAATAGGTCAATGAAGAGTCCAATTGGAATTCATTTTTGTCCTGATACGAACTGTAGGGGACGGGGCTTCCTTGCACTGGTAGTATCTTCTAACTACTTCTTTTGTAAATAGGCCAATCCTAAGTCTTTTTTCACATTCATGTTTCTTGCTGATTGCTTTGTGTATGCCAGTTGCTTGTTAGGAATTGTTTAATTTGTTGGGGGTTACTTGCTTGGTGAGGAGAGGACAGTGAGTGTTGTAGAGACTTAGAGTTTTGGAAAGGAAGATGTTAGCTAATGAGTTTATATCCTGTGTATTATTGAATTCAGATTCCCAGTTTATATTGTGAAGTGCCCCTGTTGTTCAGTCAACAGGTTGATACACGGGAGATCAGGTCAACTGATTACATGAAGGCTCTGGCACACAGTTGGCTACACGCTCATCCTGTTCCTTGTTAATGAATAAAGGCTATTCCTACTGATGGATATAACAGGCTCATGATATAAATGGGCCTCTAGGAGTAGGCTTCAACTGAGCTCAGGAAGGATTACAGCTCTTGCTTGCAGTTTCACCAGGTTCCTTATATGATAATAGTTTAAACGAAAGAGAGAGAGAGAGAGAGAGAGAGAGAGAGAGAGAGAGAGAGAGAGAGAGAGAGAGAGAGAGAGAGAGAGAGAGAGAGAGAGAGAGAGAGAGAGAGAGAGAGAGAGAGAGAGAGAGAGAGAGAGAGAGAGAGAGAGAGAGAGAGAGAGAGAGAGAGAGAGAGAGAGAGAGAGAGGGGGGCGGAGGAGAGAAGAGAGAGAGAGAGAGAGGGGGCGGAGGAGAGAGAGAGAGAGAGAGAGAGAGAGAGAGAGAGAGAGAGAGAGAGAGAGAGAGAGAGAGAGAGAGAGAGAGAGAGAGAGAGAGAGAGAGAGAGAGAGAGGGTGCGGAGGGAGAGAGAGAGAGGGGGGGAGGGCGGAGGAAGAGAGAGTGAGAGAGAATATAAATATCCCAGGGGCGACCCTCATGAGAAGGCGACACCACCGCCCCTACACATCAGTCTAGTTGGGTTGGTGAACTGCTCGGGGA